CGAAAAGATGATCCATTGCTCCAAGTATGGAATTAGCGGATTTGTATACACAACTAAATTAGAACATGGAATAATAACGACTGCATAATTAGAATAATGTCTGAGGCGATCCATTACTCCAGCAATTGACCTAGATATGGAATTAACGAATTTGTATCCACAACTTAATTAAGATATGGGGCGATAACGACTGCATGAGTAGAATAATTTGATTACTTCAGCAGTTACCTAATATGTTGATTACTCCAGCGGTTACCTAATATGTTGATTTTTATATATAATTAGAATATGGAATGATAAATAACCGTGGAAAGATGATCCATTGCTCCAAGTATGGAATTAGCGGATTTGTATATACAACTAAATTAGAACTTGAAATAATAATGACTGCATAAGTAGAATGTCTGAAGTGATCCATTATGGAATTAGTGAATTTGTATCCACAACTTAATTAAGACATAGGTAATAACGACTTCATAAGTAGAATAATTTGATTATTCTAAGAGTAAACCTAATATGTTGATTTGTGTACATGATTAGAATATGACATAGTAAATTATCGCGAAAAGATGATCCATGGCTCTAAGTATGGAATTGTCAGATATCAACAGTATTAACAACTATGAATTCTCTTTGTTTGAGTAACATTGTCATTAGATTGATTTTTTGTGTACTGATGTGAAATTTTGTGCAGTCAACCGTAACGATCGGCAAGAAAAATTTGTAAATATATTATATATTGTTATAGGATCGGATGTCTATTAACAAATCAATTAACTAATAGGTCGATCTATTGGTTGATTAATCATCTAATGTTTTATACACGTTCAATGGTTCTGATTTCTTAGATCATTTTATATTCCTGAAATTCTTGGGTAAGTTTTGATAAAATTCTTCAAAGAAATTTGAACTGTCACATGATCTTAAGAACATTAACGTCCAAGAGATCATGTATCATGTTATAATAATTTCAATTGATTGAATCTAGGTGTTACGCTAACAATCTTGGTGTATCTTACCATAGAGCACTATATACAGTACCCGGGGTCTTATTCAAGAACTCTTTAAATTGAGTAGTACCTGTGAGTACTGTGAGAAACCGGGTACTATATATAGGGGATATATCATCTGAAAGTAATAAATATAATTATACCCAGGTATTATTCGAGAATTAAGCCTGATGGGTGGTGAATAATATCTGAGTTTTAACCAAAGGGTCCTATTTTTAATAGATACTTTATGCAGTGCTAGACGGTAATTCTAGAAGACAAGACAGTTTAAATCTATTAAAATTGATTTTTATTGGATTTTCTTATTTTTATATTATTTTCTTCAGGAGTGAACTCTTTACGATAAGCCATCTTAAGAATATTGTTTATTAATAGGCGATTACAGTCTTGATTTTTTTGATACTAATATTCTTAGTGCTACATCTAATTCAGTCTCAGTAATGATCTGCATTATTTTATTTTTATTTTTTTATGTTTTACAAATCTTAATCTCTTTCAACTGCACTTTAAATATGCTGATAATCGTGTGATTAATTTTTATGGTTCGTTAAGATAATCCGGTTAAATATTGTTGACTTAATATGCTAACAAAAATTGCTTTTAGAGTTTTGTAATCTTAAGCATACCAATCGGGTGTAAAGTATCGTGCCTATGTTTCATATCAGAATTCAGAATATCTGGGATATTTCGATTCTCTTTCTAGCATTCATAGTGAGTATATAGTTTAATATATATTATTAAATATTAATTATTGTAATTTTAATGGCGGTTGTTTCAAAAAAGAAAATATCAAGTGCACTCAATTAGTGGAACGATCTGCACCAGAGTATTTTTATGATGATATTAAAGAATTAACTGTGCAAGATTATACAAAAATGTTTATTATAAATAAAGATAACAAATTTTAATATCTTTATTAAAATGTGAAATATAAAAATACATTTATATCAAATTCACAAAATAATGATAACCCAACTGACTAAATATGAACTTACAGCGAACTAGAATTGTGTAAAATTTGATCTGCAGTACCGATTTTGAAGTTAAAAAGAAAATTTATTCGAGTAATGTTCCTGATAGGTTTCTAAAAAACAAACCTAAATCTTAGTTTTTTTATATGCTTCACTATAGTATATAGTATTTTAGAGATCCTTTTTAGAATTCTATCAGAAATGATATATAAACCCATCCTATCAGGAACAATACCGACAATCTATCAGGAACGGCATTTTTGCCTCCACGAGGTCGCGAAGAGAATTGTGTGTAATCGCCTATAATTTTTTGCATGCCACCACAAATCTATCGTTAATTTTTTAAATATTAGACAACCTATTTTGTTGCTTTAAGCTGAAATTCTGATATAATCAACTTCTTGTTTTCTTGAGCTTGAATATGGGCTTTCAATTAGAAACAGGATGATAAATTATCAATAACAAATTTGTGCAAAGAAAAAAAAATAAAATTTATATTTAAAATCCAATGTATCTTGAGAATTAAGGCCTTAAGCAAAACTTTCTATAATTGCAGGAGTGACCGTTTGTAACCCTGATCTTTACCTAAGATTATTCGTATTCCATCAGGCCAGGCTGCTGAGAATCTATTATCTTTTGAATATTGCCTAATCTGTCAAAAGAAATCTACTCAATCACTTCTTCATATTCTATTGCTTAAGTTGAAGTTCTTTGATTATCAACATTTTTATTCTGTTCGTTCTCCTTTGAGAAGTCCTCAAAAGATCACATGTTCAACACCAGGTTTTCGAAGTGTTATAACGGTTACAAATTGAGCAGTGGATCATCTTTTCGTGATAATTTATCATGCTACATTCTAATTATGTATACAAATCAACATATTAGGTAACTGCTGGAATAATCAAATTATTCTACTTATGCAGTCGTTATCACCCTATGTCTTAATTAAGCTGTGAATACAAAGTCGTTAATTCCACACCTAGGTCAATTGCCATAGTAATGGATCATCTCAAACATTATTCTACTTACACAGTCTTTATTATTTCAAGTTCTAATTTAGTTGTGCATACAAATCTGTTAATTCCATACTTAGGTTATGTTAAGATCATCACAAACATTCAAATTGGATCACTTAAGTAGTCGTTTATCACATTATGCTCTAATAAGTCATGTATACAATCCGTTAATTCTATACTTAGATCAATTGTTGGTATAACGTGATTCGCGGGCTGCTATCGCATGATTCTTTCGTTTAAATGGAAAAAAAAGAAAATTATTCAGATTTCAATAAAAAGAGTTTGTATGCAGATTAATAATCATGATATGAAAAAATTGTATAAAAGATAATCGAATTTATCTTGATTAAGTTTTAAATTTTCACAAAAATATAAATAAATAAATAAATAATAAAAAATACTTCGTATTAACAACAATGCCCAAAAAATGACAATATTCTTCAAAAATTTTGTATGTAGGCACTATAAGATCACAACTGCATTATGGAATTTGGGCTAGAGCCTGGTGGGAGACAATTAATATAGAAATAGAATCTGAAATGAAAAATCTTGTAGTATCTTATCATTTATACTCGCGCATTTCATGTGAACTTAATAATAAAGACTTCATTGTTACAGTTTTACCTAATAATAAGAATTTATTAAAGCTAGGTTTTCAATGTACTTGTGAAACAACTACAACAGAAATTGAATCACATCCATCGGCAGCAATTACTGCATGTTATCAAGCGATTTTTAAAACAAAAACAGCATACTCCAGTTTGGGTATAATAGGATTCGAAAATATAAATATTATCCAACAATTAATCGCTGATATATTATTTTTTCCTATATTTGTTCGTATAGACAAACTTCTTGTGGTGATAATAAAAGTAGGCGATCTAGTAGAAAGTAGATTTCATGGGGTTGGTTCTGGATTTGTTTCTTTCTTTACAACACAATATCATAGTACACAGCATCTTTTTGTACTCAAAGTTGAAGAAAGTGAATGTATTGTAGAAATTTATTCAGAATCAACATGTGTTAAAACAATTACAGAAGAAACCCCAGATGAGTTTGGAAAAATGTAGAAATTCTTCAAAAATATACTGGATTATGCCTTTTTGGAATTACAAATGCATCGGTTCATGAACGTCTAAATGAGTTGAAAAGTGAATCGCCAACGTGTACTGCTAGTGACTGGAAGAATTTAGAATTGCTAAAAAAAATATTTTCTCGTCATATAAAATCACGTAAGATTCCCAATAAGATGATTGAATGGCCACTTCTTTTTGATAGGTGGTATTACCAAAATAGCTCCATTATTCAGTTCCCGCTTATATTACAAAGAATTTATCCACTTGAATATCAGTTTCATGACAAGGAACTACGAGCATGGCGAGCAATGTTTATTGCCTGTAGATGTACTAATGTAACACCTGTTTCAAAAGAAGAATCGTCTATAGAATTTTGGAGTAAATCATTAGACCCTACTGCTGATAGAGAATTATTAAAAAACTTTTATGAAAATAATGTTATGCAATTAAATATAAATACTTCAACACCTACACCAGTTTCACAACCAACTTCACAAGATACAATATTTTGGGATAGCTTTAGGGATGCAATGTTTTCAAACAAGAGAGAACCAGATGGTAAAATTCGTATCCTTTCAATAATTGCCCTAAAGTTTAAGTATCGTATTCTTAAAAAAGAATTAGCCGTAAGTAATTTAACAAAACCTTCTTCAAATGTTTTAAAGATTTTATCTTTCTAAGCTAAAATCTTTAAAATTCACAACCAATTTGGAATCTTAGATGAACTGAATTTTCTAAAACTAGACGAGTTTTCTACTAAGACCACACAAATTTAATTCATTGATGCTCGTAACATGAAATTTCTTAAATAGATCCAGTCGGCTTGCTTTTTTTTTTAATTTATATATCAGTTTATAAAATTTTTTTAAAAAATTTTAAAAGCTTACCCGGTTATTAAAACAAAAAATTTTTTCAAAATTTGACCTGGTCAGGTTACGAGAACCAATTAACTTTGCATGGTCTAATGTATTTTATATATCAATATACTTTGACTTTTTTATATTAAAGCCATAGATTTCAACAATTTTAGATGAATCGGATTTGACAGTCTTTTATAGTTTTTATTATAACATAATATTTTTGCTATTAGGTTGGGCCGGATACCATAAATATAGCTAGGAAGCATGCACGACTTTATGGCCCGGGCGCACCACCCTTGCAAAAACCCAAAAGAACTGTCCAACGATTATCTAAAGTTAAAGAAGATCAATTCTTGTTATTTTTTCAAGACAGAGAAAATGTTACAATGAGCTCATACCATGTAGATTCGTTAACAGGATTTCCGATTTTGTATTTACGCAACCAAAAGAGTAACTTATGGGATAAGTTTAGTGAAACTTATCTAAATGGCGTGAAAAGAACTGCTTTCATGACGCGATTGAATGATTGTACCAACCTTAAATACCGTGAAGACCTTGGTGGGCTATGTATGATCTGCAGTGATTATGGGTTTGAAACTTTCAAAAATTTTGAAAACTTTATATGGAATTATTTTCAATATAAAAATAATATGGTTAGTTTATATGTTATTGTTTTGCTTGAAATAATAATAATTAATTTATATCTAAGTTATAATTATATGTAATTTCTAATACATAATTACCTTATTACATGGTCTTACTAGTCCACGCTTCTAGAATGTCTCGAAAAACTAAAGCGACACATGAAATGGAGTTATGAAAGAGAATTGAAAGTTAAAGCAGATGGTAAAATCGAGCATGATCTATGTATTTCGCACTGCTTACCTTACGCTTTTGGTGAATGCATTAACAGTCATGAAACGAGGTACTCTGATTGCGATCAATTGTTCAATTTTCTGAACATTATGTATGAATCAGCACCTTTGGATAATCATGAACAGATAGAAGAGTACAAAAATCAAATAACAGAGTACAAAGAGCAATTATTATATTACCTTTCTCATCAAACACGAAAAGTGTACTTGAATGCCCAATTTAAAGCGACAATAGCCGAGCTTGATCTCAATGATGCACTTTTTATTGCAGATTATAAAATGCACGTATTACCTCAATCTGCATGCGAATCAAAAAGAGATTTCTTTGGGAAACATGGCTGGACTTTACATTCTATTTTAGTTTTCACTAAAAAAAATGAAACTGAAATAGATATTTAAGCATTTGACCACTGGTCAATGGATACCAAGCAAGATGCTTAGTTTATAGCATCATCATTCGATGTTGTTTTTGAGAAATTGGATAGAAAGCCCAAATGGATAAAGATAATATCTGATAATGGGCCTCATTATTATAACTCTGAATTAATGGCTATAATTGGGTACTGGCACGAATGGTATAATATCGAAGTTCGAAGCTGGTTGTTTCTAGAGCCTGGTGAGGCAAAAACAACTGTCGATTCACATCATACAGCGGTTAGTATTTTCTTCTTTTTTAAACCAGAGGTATCAACAAATTCATAAATTCAACTAAAAAGATAATTGTGAAGGTTCTTTACGATATTATGCTTATTATTTTCTTTCTTTTCTTGTCCACCAAACAAAATACCTACCTTTTAAAGATAACACATGCTATAAAACGATATTTAAGAATCGGATATGACATAGAAACAGGAGATGATATTTGTGAGGCAGTTAAAATTTTATCAGGAACTTCCATAGCAAATATAGAACCAAATCGTGATGATTATATTTCTGTGAAGAAAAATACTGATGAAAATATAAAATCAAAAAAATCAAAAATCAAAATCAAGACAATAAAAGGAATTTCAAAACTATTTTTTTGAGAATGGTCTGTGGAAGGTAGATATAGCGGATATATTCGTGCATGTCTATTGCCTCAGATTGGAGAGTGGAATAATTTTTCCCCTG